CTCAACCAACATAAATTCCGAGTATATCAATCCCAGCGCCACCTAGCATGTACATTTTTCTGTAAAATTTTCTATTTTCAAGTAGTCAATATACATATGTTGCGCTAAATCGGATCATAAATATGGTTTTGACAAATATTTCGACCCCTGCGCCACCTAGTACTTACTAAGATCGGAAGGTAGCCTATGTTAATGCCACGTAACTAAGGAAAATGCCTTGAGAGTTTCACTAAATCCGGACCTCTAAACACTCATCTATCACGGCCATTGTGGCATTAATTGTAATAAGAAATATATTTGCATATACATATGTATATTTCGAGTTTGACATATTGATTTATTTTAGACCATATTCTTTCCACAAACGATTTCTTTCGATTCTCGCGAATCCGAAAATCAATTTTTTTTGTGATATAATTTACAACTAATATATTTTATGTTAAAATATGCATTTTTATTCGTGGCATGTTAGTAAATCTCCCATTTTAACCTCTAATTATTTTATACAGATTCAATGATACGATTTGTGGCGCTACTTTCTTGCTACGTATGTACATAAGTATATTGTGAGTGAGCGTTATCCAGAGCACACTGTACTCGTATACATACTCCCTAGCAGACACTATGGTCTTTGGACTATTAGATTGAAGCAACTTGTTGAAACAAGTTACCGCAAAAGACGGAAGTCACTGTCAAAGCATGCAAAGAGCTTAAGAAAAGTGGGCAGGAAAGAGTAGAAACGAAAATGCCACAAAGCAAGCAACAACTTTTTTCTACATAACTAACAGTGCGTAGTTAACTCAGAATCTACAGAAGTACAAAAATCTGTATTTTATATACTACTTGTTATGTATGCGTGTCTGTGATAACTAGCTACACACTGAAGTGGCAAAGACAAATGACGATAGTAGTAGAGGTAAAAAGTATTTTACATACGGTGACCAGATTTCTGTGGACGAAAATCGGGACATTTCTAAAGCATCGAGTCCGAACATACAATTTTGTTTTTAGAATAAAAATGCATAATACAGTTTTATTTAAAACAAAACAAAGAGAAAAAAATTAAAAATTTTTATTATTTTTTTATGAAATTATAACTTAATATATGAAAAAAAACCATGTAAATCACAATTTGAAACATTTGAATCCGATTTTATAGAATCGCTTTGAGTATGTAGTTTTGTAGCCCATTAAATTTTAGTATAATAAAGTGCAAGTTGGAAGAAGCTTGGACTTACCGTTGAGTTTTGGCAATTTTTTGTTCGCACATTTTCTTCCATACACATTATTTTTAACAATTCAATTTCTATGAGCAACATTTTCCACACAAAAAAATACCAAATATCAACGGTAAGTACTAGCTACCTAAACTTTGCACTTTGAATTGAATGGGTTACTGCATACTCAGAATATTTCTAAGAAATCTAATTAAAAACTCAAAATTTTTATGAAAATTTGTCGAATTTTGCTGATTTTTGTACAAAGTTTGAAGTTTTAACTTAAATGGTCTTTGTTAGATAACGAGCCACGGTTTCATAAAAAGTAATAAATATTAAATAATCGAAAGGGGAATAGCCAGAGAAATCCAAAATGTCTCTTCCCTATTTATATTTGATTCTATTTTTCATATCCCCGATTCGTTTGAGGGTATTATTATTATTTTTTAAAGTTTCATTAATTGCATTATTATCTTATTAATAAGGATGCCCGCTATGTTTATGGCACCCATATATTCTATGTCCTTTGTGATAAACAAGTGCTACCTCGCTTGTACGAAAATTGTTTTTGGACCAGAGTACAGGGGGAGTCTTAATAAATGAATAAAGAAAACACTAAAAATCGGGATTAATCGGTACAAATATTTAAAATCGGGGCGCTTATATAAAAAAATATTCAGCGAGATAATTTTCTCAAAATCGGTACTGTCCCGCAAAAATCGGCACGAATGGTCACCGTAATTATACGTAGCTAGCTCAAAATCTAACTAAAAGTTAACTCCAACTAACAGTGAATGGAAATGGAAAAGGTGCAAGTAGCGACCAATGGTAAAAACAAGAAGATTTCCGCGCGAGAAAAAAAATGCGAAAAAAAGAAATTTGATTCTTCCTTTTTGGCTAATGGTGCTGATTATCATTCACTGCTTAAGTAAGAGTAAAAGTTATATTTCTTCGCTCGACGGAGATGTTACGCTACGCACATAAATCAAATCACATCCTAAATCAACTTAGCACCATCTTATGGATTGCTAAAATATGCAGTCAAGCCGACCTTTCACTTACTCTGGGATACTTTTATACAGATATGCTTGTATGTACCTTTGTATGTATGCATATTGTGCGGCTTTACTTATTTAGTTTATTAAAGGTGATTTCTTCGAAATTTTGCTGACTTACTATTAATAGTACTATCATTTTCACTTGCCTCCGGTATAATAAAGTAATAAATTATGGGTGTGCGAATCCACTTAATGTGGGTTAATTTGAATAGGAATTTATTTAGATAGAGGTAGTTTTAGAAGTTTAATCCTTTCAGAATTTACCATTTAAGTGGCGCAACTCAGGCTGAGTTTAAGCGCTGAGTATGGAGCTCTAGTCTTTAGAAAGCATCTGCCAAAACATCGAAATTTGGACAGCCACAGTAAGCCTACTAGAAGTTTGGAAACATGAAAAAATATTAAGAAAGCCACAACAGCGCTCTTCATATATAAAAAGGCGATTGTAGTATCTCGGGATGTCTCACCTAGGATAGTTCAGTGGATCTATGCAGCACTGTGCGAGGAGCACCTGGCACATAACATTCGAAACGGTATAAACATGTATTTTTATGGCTCCAAACTCGATGGAAGGTCAGACTGGGACTAGAAACATCTTTTCGGCTTCCTGACCGCTGCAGTGCTGGCTATCCAGGAGACTACTCGGCACTTCGTAAGAAGATCAAAGGAAAAGAGGCAGCTCTTTATCTTCTCTGACAGTCAAGTAGCCCTGAAGGCCCTAGATTCTTGCGTGGACAACACAAGATCTCTCACTGAATGCCGAAGGTATTGAAGGTAACTGCAAATCCGACGAATGGACCAGGAATGGTACGATCCTTCCGGGGAAGAACTTGGTAGGTATGCCATTTTTAAAATACGTTTTAGGTACAGCAACGTACAAGCAGCAAGTGAATGCTGGGGAAACCCCACTTTCTGTGAAACAGCGAGTTTAGGACACCTAGTAGAACCCACATTTGGCGCTTAGCCGGCGGCAGACAATTTTTTTCATCGCTCGCGGTCAAGCACTAGCTAGAAGGACTTTGTGACTTTGCATGCCACAGTTGGGCTATAAGCCTTTCTGTCCAGGAGTAGTCCACAGATTGCTACAGGAACTCCTACATATGTCCGAAGAGATGACCTGCGCTTCACCAAGGGTACCCTGACCGGCTAGCCTATCAGCAGTTTTGATCGTACCCTGAAACTTAAGAGAATTTATCCTCTATTTTAATCTGGCCAATTCAACGACATCGCAGTTTCCAGCAACACAACTTTGTCCCGTATGAGTCTGACTAGCAAATAATCAGAGGCAACCGTTGAGCGTGGTCAGCGACTGCTTATTTAAAGCCGACTATTTACATGAAAAACGTGAAGTGATCTGGAAACCTAAATTTGGGATTAATAGAGAGCTCCTTGCAAAGGACCTCTTAATCAAACTTTTAATCATGTTGCGATCCATCTGTGTATAAGTTCAACACTGCCTCTTTCCAACTTCCACCTTCCACTTCCCACCCCGTCTAGCCACGTATTGATCCGTTTTCCCCCCTTATAAGCGCCACATAATTTTTTGCACATCTTCAACACGCAATTAAAGCTCACACTTTCTCGCAATTCATTCTACGCCACTTTTCTACTTCATTGCTTTCACACACACTGGCACAAATAAAAATCCAGTTAATGACTATGAACAACCCACAAATTACGAAGCATTAAAGAATTGACGTGCTACTAAAGAAAAATCACGAGATAGCACATTCATTACGTTAAGTGGTGCGATAATATTATTTTTATTTTTTTTCACCTACATATCTGAGACGTCGTATTGCATATTTTATTCATGAATTGGCAGCACTGAAAGTGTGGTAAGAGAAAATAAGAGTAACGAGTAACGGTAAATGGACATCTTTCAGGTGATTGAACAGTGCTTTTAAGCTGCATAAATTGGCGTGCTGGCAGACCTGCGTTGAGTGCAGATAAATACTCAGGGCAAATGAATGAATGAAAGAAGTAAAAAGAAAAAAACCACATAATTTATGCGGTTCACCATAAAGGCGTTAAGTGAATATTGTAAATTTGAGCAGCAACAAACTTATTTTAAACACACGCACATAGGCAAAAATATTCATACTATGTATCTAGATTATACCGTACCAGAAAAGAAGGTTCGCCGTACACCCCTGAGTCTAAAGTATTTTTTAAGACAATTTGGTAACAAATTTGTTTGCCCGAACATAGGGGTCTCCGTTTAACATATTTCTTCATATCTTCGGCATTTACAGTTGGTTCTTAAAATTTAATATATCGATGTTCTTGGCCCAAAGATAATTTGTTTTTCCAAAGTTCATCGATCTAAAGTACCCTGTTCTTGCACGTACCCACCAGATCTTAATTTTTATAACACTAACGTGCCACCCTAATGTCGGCAAGTTAAATCGGTTCAAAAATCATTATAATTTTGCTAAGGAAATATCTATATAATAACAGTAGAACTATTAAAAAAAATAGTTTTAACTGTTAATGGAGGTGTCACCCAAAAATGTGAAAAGGCAATCCCTCGGTTCGGTCAAAAACAAAAAAAAAAAACATTCCTTTCGAAATTGCCTCGAAAATATTCTTTAGACTCACTTGGAACTTTTTTTAGTTGCTTCTAGGGTGGCACGGTCTAATGTACATAGTACCATATGTACATGTATGGAATGACAACATTTTTATAATTCATAAATTTCTTAAGTTTGTCTACACTTTCACTTACCAACAGTTGTCAACAACATATTATCCAATAACAACGCAATGGCCACAATGATCAAGACGAGTTGTCGTGAACCGCGCCAACCGATCATCCAATTCTTGAAGGTGGCCCATGTCCCGGCGGCGCGGTAATCCTCCTGCCGGCAATGATCCGGCGGTGGCGGCTGTGGTGGTGTCATATAGAGTCGCCCTGGCGTCTTGATGGCCGTCGGATCTGTGCTCGAAATTGGTGTCGGTGTTGCCTGTGCTGATGCTGCTCCCGTTGTTGTATTTGCGCCACCGACGCCAAAAATGCCACCGCCTGCTTCGGTAGCATGTTGAGCGCTGTTCCTGTAAGTGTTGTTGCGGCCATTCTGTTGTTGTTGTTGCGCTAATCTTTGATCGCTGCTCCACGGAGCTGTTGTTTGCTTGAAGGGATTCTTGCTGGGTGTATCGTGATTGAGTGCTTTGCTTTTGTTGTTCTGTATTGCGGGTGTGGTGCTGAATGATGTGGTCGCGTCGTTTATCGTTGTAGTTGTTGCTGCTACTGCTGCTGCTGCTGCTGCTGTTGCTCCCGCTGTGGATGTTGATGCCAAGTGACTGGTGATGTGCTGATTGAAGTTTTTTGCTCCATCTCCAGAATCAGTCGATTGCATTTCGCCACCCGCTTGTTACTATGGGAAATAAGAAGATGATAAAAGTATGGTTGGATTAAATATACGAAATGAGTATAAAGGTTAAACTGTAATTAATTTTTGGCGATTACTGAGTTTGTTATCTGTTAAAGAGTAAATTAATCTTAAGCACTGGGAATAACTCTTAGGATACATGTCAGGGAGGAAATATAAATGAAAGATTTGCCTTGCTTCGGCCGTGCTCCTTGGCCCATTCTTTGTCGATATATTAACAGTGTAGCCATGCAAGACAACTTTTCTCTCAGCATCCATGTTTACGATATTATCATTAGCATACGAAGAAACTGTCGCCATGATTCATTACGAGAAGTTCCAAGCTAATTATTCTAGCCTTCTAGTGTAGAATAATCTCATAAATAGTTACACAAATCTTATTCAGGTTGTCGAGCCATTGGATTACACTGAGAAAAAATCAACTAAAAACTGGTTAACATTACCAAATTCAAACCTGAAAAGGAATCATTGTTATTTTTGGTTTATGTTAACAATGCTTTGGTTGATATTTTCAACAATGATTTGGTAATATAAACCGCACTTTTGTTTATATTAACCATACTTTTGGTTGTAGATTTTTTCGTTTGTATACGATTATGTTCTGCACTTCACATATACTTTTTCGTAATTAAGAAAAACAAAAAATAAAAATAAATAAAAAAAATATGTTTTGCCGCTGACGGCATTCGTACTCGAAACTGCTGGAAGTCAACAAATAACAGCAGGCAGCTACAGTAAGACATACAAATGAGTTTTCAAATGTTCAACTTAAATCAAATTTTTTACAATCGGTGTATTTACCATGAAAAAACGAACAATAACTTGGCTAAAAAAACCATTGTACTTTTGGCTTAGTGTAGGGTAGGTTTAAGTGATCGTTTCCTGTAGGATACGTAAATGACTTGGGAGTTATTTTTACGATAAGTACTACGTAATTTTGAGCGGTAACCAATACTCATTCTGTGAAAGGCCGCAAAACAATTATAAAGCTTCGTAAACGGCTAATATAAATTCTCCAGTGTACCTTAGGCTATGGAAAGCTAGACTGCCTAGTAGAGAGTGTCGTGCTGATTTCACCTTATTTATACTATTTTTAGAAAATTTCCGGATATGCAGTTTTATAGCCTATTTAACTTTTGTATAATAGATCAACTTTTAGTTGGCTGCAAAATACCGTTGATTTTTGGCAATTTTTCTTTTTTTTTGTTGACAGTGTTATGCATTTTCTTCCATAACGACATCAACAAAAAACTGCCAAAAATCAACGGTATTTTGCTCCAATTGGACTTTATTATACAAAATTGAAAGGGCTACAAAACTGCGTATCCGAAATTTTACTAACTTATTCGCAGCTGGTCATTAGGATGGCGTACTTCTTTATTGATTTTTATTACTACTACTCCTTTAACGGCAGGTACTTCTGATGGAAAAATGCTACAGAAGTCTGGAAGCCTATTCTTGATATTGATGGTCAGCTCCTGCGAGAAACCATTCCCTCAAGTTCTGACCCTCTACAGCCTCCTCGCACCACCAATTCTGCCCTTGACAGAATGTTAATACAGAAAAAGGTGCTTGGAACCATTTCACAGACACAATAATCCGTGTAATCAGGAACGTAATCGAAGCCTTCAAGAATTTCAGAGTAGGTATCCAGACGCTGACCATAACAAAGCATGGGCACAACCCGTACGCAAATGCTTCAGCTAAAACTTTAAAGAGTTGACTTAAGACAGAGCAGCGAAATCCATCTTTGAAACAGGTTTGGAGGAGCCTAGGGAAAGGCTCCTAGGCCTAGGTAATGAATACATAAAATTACTGAAGATTTTCAGTACACGATTAGGAAGTTAACTGCCGAATCTGAGTTAATTCTCCACTGTGAAAACGGCTCTAAATCTAATAAGATGCGATTTTGTGGTTATGAGATTATGGTACTTGGTCGAATTTCTCCATGGGAAGCTAGAAGTACGTCTCTTCAGTTCTCTTTTACCTAAAAATTAAACCAACTTTGTTATAAATCAAGCAACAAATTCGTTCAAATTCCCTTTCGAAATTAAATCAACGCCAGATAAAAGTAGGTTACGATATGAGATTAGAATTTTCGTAGTGAAATGCGACTACAATCTAAGAAAGGAACAAAATCACTGCAGTTATTTATGAACAAAAGGAAAAGTAGCGCAAAAATAAAAAGAGAAAGCCAAAAGTAGCGTACGACACACAAATCGGATCAAATAAAAGTTAAGTGGCTGATGAATGATTGTTATTAGGCGAGAAACGCATATCAAAAAGCATTATTACATGAAATGGGGAGGCAAACAAGAGAAGCAAACCAAGTGATGGGAAATATGAAAATCATAGTAGGAGTCCGGGAAATATTTACGCAGATAAAGAGAGGTGAAAATATTGTACATATGTTTGTACATAATTTAGTGTTAGCATAATGAAAGGAAGCTGTTTTGAGCGTGCAACAGTAGCAGCCATTTGGAAGTAAGCTATTGTGAGAAGGAGAAGCAAATAAGCTGGCTAATAGAACAAAGCTGCTTAGGCTTACCGCTGTCAGTAGTATATGTATTTAGTTACGCATATAATCTAGTTTTCGTGTAGTAAAAGGAACTGTTTCAAGTTCATGTGTACTTATGTAAATATAACAAAATATGCAGCTTAGCTATAAGTTTACTTAATTATTTGATGTTTTTTTAATTATAAGTAAACATAGCTTTGCAACAAAGAAGCCACAATAATTTTTCAAACAGCAAAATCTTAATCTTACTAATATTTAAAATGTGAAAGCTTGTGTGGGAATTTAGATAGGTTGCAACCTGGACTAATGAATTGAATTTTTTAAGATAGCTGCTACCTTTTCAAAAGTTAATATGAAATAATTAGTATGTTAAGTAAAATAGTACAACAATGTGGGTGTATTTCGAAAATATTTTTGAACAGTTAAAAAGTCAAAATCGATTAATTTACAAGTTAAAGTAAATATTTTAATATGGTTGTAAAATGACATTTTTAAAAAAGTTCTATTGCGAAAATATTTTTGAAGAGGGTTGCCATGTGTTTAGAAATTCAAAATCAATTTTAGTGACAAGTTAGGGCGGTTTTTTGAGGAGAGTTCCCTATAGTTAGAAAGTGTCGGTTCAATTAAATGAGAGACCATACATAAAGAGCTCGAAAACAACTTATTTCAAAAATATTTTGAATAGGGTTGCCATCTATTTACAAATTCAAACTCAATTTAATTGACCAGTTAAGTAAAAATGAGCAAAGTTTATGTAGGCCTTAATTCTGAAATACTTTGACGAGGGCTGCCACATTTTTAGAAATTAGAGAAGCTAATGTAAGCTTTACTTATAAAATATGTTTGGAAGGTGGTTTCCACCAATTTAAAAGGTCCAGGTGAATTTAATATGCGATTGAACGAAACATGGCAAGACTATCTACGAAAGACAAGTTATTTTTCATTGCGAAACGGCTGATTTACTTAAAATCTGACGCAAACATTGGCCATCTTCTGAGATATAATTTGAATTCCATAAATATATTTTCCTAAACTTCAACGTTTGCTTTGGATTTGCTTTATTTTCAATACTTTTAAATTGAAATCATTAAAATGAGCGCCATACCTAGGGTTGCCAACATATTCTAAGATATTTATAGTACTTTTCAAAAAAATTTAAATAAATATAGTACACTTCAAATATATATAGTATTTTATTTTAAAGAAAAAGGAAAAACGATTTTTAACTGATGGAAAATGAAATTATTTTAAGTATTTTTGTTAATTCTTTCTCAGTTATGTTACCTGCTTTGATTATAACCTCTTTTGCTTAAAAACTCACAATGACCTTTTACTTTAAAGAATATTTCATTTAATATTGTTATTTCAGAATAAAGGTCATCCATTTTAATAAAAAATTTTTCGTGCAAATTACTGAAATATATTTATATTTATGATTGAAGAAATATAGTATTTTTGCGTACTATATTTTTTTCCAACAGTATATATATAGTACGCCGACCGGAAAAACAGTACAATACTATATATTATAGTACGGTGGTAACCCTAGCCATACCAGAAATTGCTATGACCGTAGAGAATATTCGTTTATTTTAGACTTAAAGTTACATTTATACATAGTTTAGTGCTTATATTTGCTTCTATGAATATATTAAAATAAGTATTTTTCATTTTCAAAACAACCGAAAAACAAAATTCAAAAAATATGGCACTCGCATGTGGGAAAATAATAGTTTGCAGTTTGGAATTAAAAGAGAATATTTGTGTTTAACGTTTTTGCGATGCATTGCATATTTTTATTTAATATCTATATGTAAGTTTGTTTTACGATTACATTAGCGCTACTCCACTTATTAACTGGCATTGGCATGGATCTAGAAACCTTCACTTTATTGACCTTTCATTATTCTCATCAACGCTGCTCGCTTGAGACCTTTAGAATACTTTGCATGGTCTACCTATGCACCATCCCCCTCTCCCTTTATGTTTACATTTCCTTTCATTTCATTATTATTTAATTTCTGATTTTGCTAATTATATTGTTTGTTTTAAAAATTAATATAAATTCTCCCATTCCATTGTTTTAATTAGAAACCCTTAATTGCTTTTTGAATATTCATTAACGGGCACACGCTTACCCATGCCTAAATATGTACATACATACATAAATAGGTACATATATACACACGTATCTACGTATGCACATTAGGGTGGTCCAATATATGTACAGTCGGAAATTTTATGCTCCCACCCCCTAGGATTGTTCTATGTCGAAGAAAGTATACACCTACTTTTTTATTTTGAAATCAAAAAATATTTAGAGTTCGCTCAAAGCACTCAAAATGTTTCATGTATTTTATATGGAAAAAAAAACAACTTTTCGTAGAACTGGTATGGAATTCTTGAAAATCAATATTTTTCGATCGGAAAACTCTGGTTCTCTTCAGGAGACTTCCCATAACAATAC